CGCTACTGAGTACACTAGCAAGTACAGCGATGAGTCACGTCGGCCACAACATCTTTTTACTGAGGTTGAACAGCTGGGAATGTTCTCTCGTCAGATAGAGTCTAATCAGTTTATATGCAAATATTGATTCTCATAACGTCATCGATGAATAAAACTTATTCTATAACTTATGCCATGTCATAGTTAAACCGTGAAGACTGACATCATTGTATGAGCTCATACTCAGTTCCTGTAATGAGACTTAATCTCGTCTCAACACGAGTATACTCGTGTTTAATGCTCGTTCTATCAGAGTTCACAGTTTTGTGTGCCACAATATTTCAAATTTAAAAAAGTTCTGTTTTCATCTTTTGAAATTTAATTTATAAAAAACCGAGCAAAGATAGTATTTTAAACCTTTTTTTCACAATGATCCTTACACAATCTTAAACGTGAATATATTATTGAAACAATGTTCATTGCCATGTTTTATTTAAAAGTGCAATCTTTTATTACCGTTAACTCTAGAAGTGTTTTGTGACCTAGTTATTGCTGATGAAGTTGAGTGACGAATGTAAATCATGATCCGCATATAAATTGCCGAAATGAAACATAGCGAAGATAGATATATTAAAAATATCATATAGATCATTGTTCGAATATTAGTAAACGGTGTTTGACGATAATGCTCATCCCTGGTAATTCTCAATTACAAAGTTGGGAAGCAAAAGTAGAAACGACAACGACCATTGTACGACGATAACTAAAATATATGAATAATAGATTTGTAACCATTTGTATCTGTAAAAACGATATGAAATAAACGATACAAAGCTTGTACACAATAAGAGTAATAGCGTGAACAAATAAAGGCTACGAAAAGATAACCACACGTTTTGCACTATCTTCGAATTGAAGCGAACTCGATAAATCCATCGCTGCAATAGTAGCATTTGATAATATAATCGAAATTATCAATATATTACAAAACATTAAAATAAAATTATATAAGAAATTATCATGTATTACAAGCCAGCAATACTGGAATATTTTTTGAATACTGTCGACGATAATACATGGTGAAAACAATAATTAACGATGAAATAAAAGTAGCTAAACTACAATTGATTATTGTGAATATAAGAAAATCTCTACTTTTCCATCCACTAAGTTCGACACCAGTATCGTTATGAGTAAATTTGATTATCTCACAGGTTCTGTTGTAGATGAAATAAATCGTTTAAATATACTTTAAATATACTGTCTCGTCGAGCACTGGCTTTTGTACAGAAAGTCATTTATCTTTTCTCTATTAAGTAATGCCTCATCTATCTATGGTTATAGCGCCGTCTAAAAGAAATATACGTAGGTGAGAGTCTATTCACTGTACAACGGTTACAGCAGTATCGGGAGCTCCGATGTTTTTAACTCAGCTCACAAAGTTTGGCAACATTTAATTTGAGAACCGCCACAGTGAACAACCATGTAGACATTAGGTGGAAAATTAAAAGTACACTTTTTGACGATTCGAATAGTGCTACATATACTTTGGATAGCGGACTATTTAATGACAGAAAACATTTTGCCATGAGTGGTGAATTTTCGGAAAAAACTAAACACTAGCCTGTAGGTATGAGAGCTCTATCGAAAAAAATTTTTTTATTATATTTTCCCAATTTAAAAGTTGAGAAAGTATATATTCGAATTCTACACTCTTTTAGCTATCGATTCATAAAAAAGATTTTTGTTATTGATCAAATCAGCGTCCGGAAAGTAATTTTTCATTTTCCTCTAAGGGTTTTCCGAAAACATGTGTTCAGTATAATGAGCTTCCGCACTTTTCCACAACTCCAAATAAGTTCAAACCTCCAGAAACTATTCTTCTATATATACTACATCTATTGGGTTAGCCCAAAATAGTCCAAATGACTCCAGACTGAGCTGCAGATTTTCTAAAAAATTTTGATTTTTCGGGTAAAATCCATTGTTCTCATCTCAGAAGCACTTTCATTAAAAACTAATGATATATTTAGAATCAGCGCATCGAACTGTATCGAATGATATGTCAGTTGTATGTTTTTATGCGCAAAAAAATCGTTCGATTTAATGGAATGACAGATTTGCTGCATTCCTGTAGCAATGTTGACGAGGCACTACGATTTTTGAATTAGAAGCAGTTTGAAAGCCTACGAAAATAAGCCTAGTATTCGTAGGTTTTCTAATGCGCTCTTTTCAATGATGTGATTTATAAAGTTCAAAAACACTTTTAGATCTGATCTCTGGAAAACTCCGATAAAAACATCTTTGAACTTGTAAATCACACCATTGGAAAGAGCGCATCCGAAAATCTATAAAAATAGCGTTTAGAGGCTTTCGTATCACTTTTAGGGCACATGTCCACGTGGCTAGTCCAAAGTACCCACTGTGAACCGTCGGCGGAGATTGTCAAACGCCATAGACTGATCCTAATTTCATAAAATGATACCGCCGAAAAAATGCTTTCATGTCTCAAAACTCTCTTACTAGCGTCATAAAATCCACCCACTGATTCCTATTTCTCACGTATTGACGGAGTCAGCTAATTCTAACCGCTTGCTTCTGTTCAAACATGATCTGTGAATCAATGATATTTCGTATAATTTATAAACATAACAACTTCCCTCGTCAAACTAGTTTGAAACGCTCTATTGTGAAACTTCCTAGGACTTGTCCGTTGTCCGAAGGAAAAGGAAGTTTGAAGTATAAAGTTTATATACGGGGATTTTTGTGGTTTCCAAGCGGGGGGTTATCAGTAGCTGTAACGACAATTTCCAGTAGCTATAAACACACCTTTCAGTAGCTGTAAACGCCAAATTTATATTGAAATTTGATCAATCACAATTTCACCCCAAAAGTTTACAGCTACTGAATGGACTAGTAACAAATATTTAATCGTGTCGCTGGCATTAACAATTTTTGTCGTCGAGTCGATTTCTCTCTGTTGGAAAAGATTTGTGACAAAAACAGTGTAGATAATCCGTGTTGTGATGGAGGAGAATGCTCGTCATTATTTTTCTACTTGCTTTTTTCACATCGTGTATGATGCAGAACGAAAACCCACATTAACAGCGTTACACTAAACATTTTTTTGTTGAATATTTCAGTTTTGTGACGGGGACGAGATTGACACGCACGTGCGTTAAAAACGTTTCAGATCCTCAAAACTTGATGAGCTTATCTATACCAAAAGATGAGAACTATTTTTTCAGGCATTATCAAACAACTACGCTCGAAAGTTAACAATTTTTTTCGGTAGTCCGATTCTTCTTCGAAATTAAAGATAGCTATCCGAATAATTCTTTTGCCATGAGAATAAGTTTGTTGTTTGCTTTATTTTCATGTAAGAGCACAGAGTTTCCTATTCCAGTTGGGAGATTCGTTATTCTAAAAAAGTTCGTTATTACCTAAATTCGGAAAGGGCACACAACTTAACGAGGCGGCGCGGAGCATAGAAGGGTTCAAAATCTTGTAAACAATCACATCTTTGATTCTGGAGAATGTCATTTTAGATCCAAAGTTTAACTAATTCCTGTCACTTTCTTATTACTTTCTTATAGGAATCTTATAAGTTTCCTTGGAAATTTCAAGCGTTTTCTTACATAAAAATCTTGTCTGTTTCTTATAAAAAATTTATAAGAATTGACAAAAATGGAATGACAGTTTTCGTGATAGAATAGACGAATCTATATGTTAAAAACAATATCGCTAAGAAAGTTTCCTTCAGCCTATAGTACATTTCCTATTGTTTTTCAGCGTTTAAACCAGCTCAAACTTTGCATGAATCTTTTTTACTATCTAAGATATCTTCAAGATTAGCATATTGATCCATATTTGTTCCTAATCATTATACTGGGTTTTCGAAAAATCAAAGTTTTTCACGTGACATCCGTTTTTGTCAGCTAACAAGCCACGTTTTATAAAAACAAAAACAAAAGAACATAATCGAAATATAGGAAAAAAAGTTTCGAAGTCAAATAGCCAGATGATCTCAACCGATTTAAAACGAAAAAAACTTTTTCGAGGTCGTTTTCTTTTTAATAGACGTTTGAGATATGAGGATTTAAATTAAATTAAATTAAATTAAATAAACTTGATTGGTAACTAGAGAAAATCAAATATTCCCGTGACATTAGAGACCTGCACGGGTACGGAAATGTCTTCAGCCGCGGACATGTCCGTGATGCCCGCGGGCATGGACGGACATGATCAGTCTTGAAAAGGTCACGGCCAGGCATGAACGCGCAATCGTTCTCTCCAATGGGCACGGGTTTTTGAAAAAATTTTGTGTAACAAATTCAAAATATGAATTATTTGTGAATGAAGTATAGGTAGTAAAAGACATGCCAATGTAAGAACATGATATACCGACGAGAAAATTTTCGTTGAGATATACAAGATAATTCATTTTTTTCATAGAGCAAATGTGGTTAAAACATGATTTTTTATCATATTACAAATTTTTTATCCACGAGCATGGGCAGATACAGGCAGCCGAAAACAACGGATGGGCACGGACAAACATTCCAGAAAGATCTACGGACATGGACGAGTACGGGCAGCCAAATTTTGTCCGTGCAGATCTCTACTTTATATGCAAAAAATGTGCAATGAGTCTGTCTACTTAATATTTTTTCTTAACATGTATTTTAATCAAATATTAAGTTCACTTTGAGTTTATTTTAAAAAATAACAATCGAATCAAATGAATAAAAAAAGAATAAAAACATACCGGATGCATCAATAATCATTTACATTTAATTTTAAAAAAAAGCAGCATTGCAGCAAATAACGTTATGACACATAGCAAAAAAATCATAGTAACAGTTAGTGGATTTGACAAAACTGTCAGTCAACGATATGTATCTAAATAAAATTAACTTTAAGAATGAAACTAGCCAGTAGAGAATAAAAAGAATCACAAAAATAAATCATAGCACACACTTTTGATTATTGCCCAAATAAACAACGTATAAAAAAATTTATCACAGTTTCGACAATTCAATCGGTTTTATGCTTTTTACTTGATTTGAATATAGTTGATCAATAACATTTTGAAAATGTTTTCTAACTGCTTGTCGTCGTGTCTTGAATGTATCTGTTATAAAACCATCCCCTTGTGAAAATAAATGTGGATGTAAATGAATATTTTTTATTGACTCATAGTATTTTAATTTATGTTCTTTTGCCAAACGTTGTAGATCATTCAATATTGTTTGTTTCAATTTTGCGTCATTCAAACACAAATCATCAAATGATTTATCTTTATCAAACGTTCTTTTTACATATTCTTCATCTGGTATAACAACGGCGACACAATGACTTTCAGTTGATTTTCCATCAACATACACTTGAGCGATCCAAGGCGAACGAATGTAGATCTCTTCTAGACGTTCGGGAGCAATGTATTCACCTTGATTTAATTTAAATATATGTTTACAACGATCGATAATGCGTAGTGTACCATTTATTGTCCATTCACCAATATCACCGGTATGTAGCCAACCGTCTTCATCGATTGTTTCACGAGTTTTTGCATCGTCACCATAATACCCTGAACATAAGCAAATAGAGATCAGTCCTAAGAGTTAATTAAATTACCCACAGGTCTATTTAAGAGAAAATTCCTGTCCAAATTTTTATCAGTAAACTCCAGAGCTCCGTGTAGACTGAAAATTCTGAGTCCAGTCCAGTCCAAGTCCATGAAAAACAGTTTTTTCAGTCCATGGACTCTGAAAAAGTAGTCCAGCCGAGTCCACAATACAAAAACAATCTGTTTTTCCTCGACTCAAGTGAATCCAAAATTTTTTTTCGAGTCCAGACCAGTCCATGGTCTTGAAAGTTTGAGTCCAGTCCAGTGCAAGTCCATAAACTCAAAAAAATTTCAGTCCAGTCCATACGGAGCTCTGCTAAACTCATCATAAATGCTGCCTGTAGTTGAATGTTTTAAAACATGTTGAAAATATTGTAATAAAAAATAATTTACCTTTGAAAACGACTGGTCCTCGAAGACACACTTCTCCTTGATTATTATCTTTTCGATAATTTGTTCCCTCAACATCAACCAGTTTCAGTTCGAGGCATGGAAATGGGGTACCCACTGTACCTGCTGTCAAGTCAGTGACATGCATAACTGAACCGGCGCCACTACTTTCTGTCTGTCCATATCTATAAGTAATAGGAATAAAAAAACTTAGTGATTACTATCACGCATCACTTACCCTTCAACAATTGGAATATTGAGTGCAATTCTGAAGAAATGTAATACATCAGGTGTTATTGGAGCACTACCCGTCAACATTGTGTAAACATGATTTCCAAATAATCGTTTTACTTTTCGAAATATTATTTTTGATAAAAATGTTGGTTTATCATTATTTAATGCTTGTTGTATCAAAAAGCGTTTCACTTTACTCTTATTTACTTCAGCATATATTGCATCATACACTTTATTTAAAATACGTGGTACCATACAAATTCGTGTTGGTTTAATAACTTGATAATATTCGAATAGTTTTTCCGGTTGTGGACAAAAGGCTACTTGACTACCTTGGAGAAAAGCGTCGCACAGAATAAGACGTTCGTACAAATGTGCCATTGGTAAAAATGAACAATGACGATCTTCGCATGTGCTTTCGAGATTAGCACGACGTCGACGATCAATGCTAGCTTTTATTGTTGCCAGAATATTTGCATGAGATAACATGGCAATTTTTGGTTCACCTAAATATAACGAAAAATAGCTGTCCAAACAAAAAATTGAAAATGCAATTATTGCAACAAAAAGAAAACAATGTTTTCAGTAATAGTGGTATATAAAATACCTGTCGTTCCACTAGTGAATATAAACGATGCAATACTATCTGGATCTGGTTTATGACAACTTCTTATGTTCTTTTTGCCTTCTGTCATTACATGATCAAGAGACTGAATATTTGTCTGCAATGAATTAATCTGATCCATTGAAATAATTAATTTAACTCCATTTTGAAATAGTTCATTCATAATTGATTTCACACGATCTAAATTATCAACAACCAAAACATCTGTTTGCGTTCGTTTGAGTAACTTTAGAAGAGTTTGTGAATCATAGGTAGTGTAGAGTGAAACAACAATAAACGAGTACATATAACAAGCATGTTCAACATAAGCCCATTCGGGACGATTCAATGACATAATACCCACTTTTGATTCATTCGGTATTACACCAGAATCTAATAGATAAGAGCCAATACAACGAACATTTTCAAGCACACGAGAATAAGGTAACCATTGAATTGGAGTTGATGGATCTAACGGACTAAAAATATTAAGTTCTAAGTAAACAGCAATTTTTTATTATGTTTTATGGTCACCTGTTTTTTTGTTTTTCATCAACTTCAATAATTCCAATACATGGTCCATTATTTGATATCAAATGTCCATGATATAACATATCAGCTAAACTTTTAACATCGGGATAGATTTTTTTATATTCTGAATAAATATCATCATTTTTATAGAATGTACACCGACGTATTTTCTCAACAGGATCTATTTCAACTGTCTGATGTTCTAAATCAATTCCATCATCATATAATTTTTCAATTTTTGAACGATAAGCACGTGTACCATAATAAGCAAGAGCTACTCCACCGACAGCTGCAGCGGTATAAGGTATACTTATCTTTGGTAAAGACATATATGTCTAAAACAATAACTAAAGGAGTAATAGCGCAACCGTTCTCCTCACATACTATCAATGGCAATGAATGTTTTTTTTTTGAGTAATGCTGTTGTAAACAACAAATATAAACTGTCTATAAACAAATAGCAATCGGTATATTTGCATTGTAGATAATCTATTGATTTGAAACGTCTCTCTAAGATGCAAAAAAGTAGAAAATATGAAAACTGGATAGTTCTACAACTAAAACCCCTTTTGTTTTCATTCACATAAATAGGTAAGAAAGTACTAATACACTTGTAACAATAGTGAAAAAGCACCAACAATGTATGTAAAAAAAATGATATTATACAACAAAAATGAACAAATTAGCATTATGTTTACATTTTATAATAGTCTTTGATAAAATTTAATGTTTGTTCGCGCGATAAATATTCCGTTTTATCATTATAAACGTCGATTACTTCATATAAACCTTTTTCAACCTAAAATATAGACTATTCACTTTAAACAGCTTCATACATGAATTAATATACGTCATCACTCACCGCTCTTTTACCAAAAATAATCACAATTGGTATACCCATTTTCTTTGATTCAATCAAACGTTGACCAATACTGAATTGAGTACGATCATCGATAAACCATTCGTCTTTACTTTCAACAGTTTCAAGTAACTCAGAAATTTTATCATTCACTAATGGTTCTTCATTACTGCCTTTCTAAACGACATACTTTATTACGATAAAAGAATAAAACATTTGAATTTTAATATTTTCAGAAAAAAATCAAACTTTTTTATGCAACAAATGGCATGTTTCAAAATACATAACAATCAAGTGCTTGTTATTATATATCAATCTTACCTTTGGTGGTATAAGAACGACTTTATATGGTAAAATCGCTTTTGGCCACCTAATTTGTTCAGAATGTTTTGATAATTCAACAATTGTTGCCATTAAACGTGTTAAACCAATTCCATAACAACCCATTGTCAAATAACTAAACAAATTGAATGTAAAATTTCATCAGTATATTTTTGCTTTATATAAAAAACATACTTTATCTGATCATTTGTATCGGTGGTTGACGATTCTGTACCACTTATAATTGCATCGAATAGTTTTGTGTATCTATTTCCAAGCAGAAAACAGTGTCCTATTTCAATAGCACGTTGTTCCATTTTTTGATGATGATTACAGTCCGAATAAATCTGACACAATGGGAGACCTTCATTCAATTGATTTAACACAGTCTCTTTCGAATAACCATTTTGACACCGAAAAAATAAAAAAACACAATACGTTCCACTAATTTTATGAAAAAATATCGAAAAAAAAGACTACTCACTTTGAACAAAGAAGAATAGTATCTTCACCAATATCACACGGTGTCAAATATTCATGATTTATTGTTCCACCCATCATACCACTATTTGCTGCCACTAGAAAATAGTAAAATCTTGTCGATATTATTATTAGATATTGAAACCTTTTACCTTTGATAAATGGCACATTTAACTGTTTGAAAATTCGCTCATATGCCGAACAAATGTCGTCGTAGATCTTTTTTGCATTTTCTTCATTTAAATGAAAGCTGTACAAATCTACATAAAATTATAGACAAAAATAGAAATTTAGACAATCGTAAAGACAAAATTTTCAAAATATAATCATTCTAGTTACATGTAGTAAACATACCTTTCATTAAAAATTCTTTTGTTCTCAATAGGCCATGTCTAAAATGCATCTCATTTCGATATTTCCATGTTATCTAGAATCTAACGAGTCAACGGTTGAATTGGAAAAAAGAATTTTTTCCATTTAAATTTATACCTGATATAATAATAATGGATAAGATGTTTGTGGAAGAGTTTTACAAACAGTTGAAACAAGTCGAGTTATGGCTTCCTCATGAGTCTTAAGAAAAAAAAACCCAAATATTGTAACAATAGAATTATAAAAGAAAGAAATATCTTACGGGACTCAAACAATATTCATCATCAGCGCCATCTTTGAATTTAAAAAGTTCTGTGTTCATTAAATGCCAGCGATCTAGAACAGAGAGTTCGTGTAAGAGAACAGAACTATCTTTTCAAACAAGATAGTCATTAAATAAGACGTCTACTCTATCTCATTGATTTCAGCTTTTTTATGGACGTACGTTGGAAAGTCCCGTACTGTTCAATCATTTTTTCTCTAAAACATACTCGATCGTAGGTAATTTTCGATGCTGATTACGAGTCTACTATTCGTTTCTGCCGCTAGACCTCTCTTGGATCGGTCTCTGGAAGCCAAGTATCCGAAGACTCACTGTCAGCTTTCAGCTGAACACATTTTGACACTACCAGATTGTAGAGAACGTCGAGTTATCCATATGAAAAAATTTTCAGAACTAATAAACAAGTTTTCGCAGAGATACAAAAATTTTAGAATATAAAAAACATGAAACGGGGGTTCCCTGCTGGATTAGAAAGTTAAGTTTTTATATCTCTGCGAAAACTTGTTCATTAGTTCTGAAAATTTTTTCATATGGATAACTCGACGTTCTCTACAATCTGGTAGTGTCAAAATGTGCTCAACTGAAAGTTCACAGTGAGTCTGCGGATACTTGGCCTTCGGAGGCTCATCCCAGAGAGACCTAGCAACAGAAACGGATATCAGGCTCGTGATCAACATCAAAAACTATCTGTGATTGAGTATATTTCGAGGAAAAAGTGATTGAACAGTTGGGGACTTTCTATCGTTAGATTAAAGAAGTGATGTGCTTTTTAGACTAAATTAATTGGTAGTCAAATTTACCGCTTTTTTCCCAAATATTTTTCTTCCCTATTGCCGATAAGAATAATTCTTGTCCACCGACAGAATTCATTTCATTACGTATCAACGTTTCCATTTTTAATAAAACACGTTTGCCTATAGTAAAAGAACAACAAAAACAATATGAATCTACCTCTTCGCATTTCAGAGCGCTTAAAGGTAATTTGATCATGAGCTTAGTGGCTACTGTTTTTTTCCGAGTATAATCGGCAACATTTACCTAATGGCAAAAGACATGGTAGACCAGCTTCAACATTATGAACGTAGCCTGTGTCTTGCAATAACTAAAAGAAAAACGAAAAGAAGTATAAGTTAGTGATAACCTCGGAGAATAATAGAACCTTTTGACTTTTTGATTTACTGCTTCTTGGAACTTCATAAGCTGTTGGTATAAACATGCGTGATCGATGCTGAATCCGAAGAAATAATGTCGAACGAACACTCATTTTTTATTTTCTATATCTGGAGAAAAAGTAATAACTCTTGCAAAAGATTTTATTACACTAAAACGTCTTTAATAGAAACGAGTTACCCGTCCCTACTTGTAAGATATAAAATCAATTACTACTATTAGTATTACTAAAAACATAAAGGATTAGTTACATAAAATTGAAAAACAAACACAAGTACAAATAAAAACTGTGTTATCTTTGAGCGACTTTGTTAACAACACGGAACCAACTATTAACATCCATCAGACATATTTTGAATGACGATAGCATTTTATTGAGTACATATTTTGTAATTATTTCAGATATTTACAATTTATTCATTTATTCTAGTTAGACGATAGGTATTAACTTTTAGTTAATGATGGTAGAGAGAAATTATCTAAGTTTTCATTTAATATCAATAAATGTAATAAAAAAAATATATGCAAATAAATATCATTGTTACGAAGACATAACACACGGAAGAAAAAAAAATCATTATTTCTGTGTGAATGAGTTCAGTTTCTGTTTATCAATTGATTTTTCATTTGAAAATAGTGCTTTATCAATTCTAGATTTTGGACTACCCGTTTTTTCTAACCATTTTTTCATTTCATCTATTTTCGCTTTTTTGCCTTCTAGTTCACCTTGAACTGTTCCTTGCTCTGTATTTCTAACCCAACCAGTTAACTGTAATTTTTTGGCTTGTTCAATAGTATGTTTTCGAAAAAAAACACCTTGAACTCTTCCATATACTTCAAAATCACAATGTGCTAAATCTGAACTAGCAGCACTATTACCACTGCTAGCAGTTGGCTGAGATTGTTTTGTTGACATTGTCGATAATGATACTGAAAGAAAAAAATAGGAGTAAAAACAAATATAAAATTTTCATAATCAAATCTTGAAGCAACTCTCTAAGATGTAGTCAACTTTTGATTACATGCTGAAGTTTGATCACATGAAAATTAAATAAATTAAAGACAATTGCAAAACGTTTCTCAATTTGAATGTATAAGGCGTCTTGCAACTGCATTAGTTTTTTCTCTAATCAAATTGTTCATTTTCCTTTCTTTTAGTTCATTAAATATTACTGGCTTCTTAAGTTCTCTTGTCTTTAAAAGAAAACAGTTTTCTATCTCAAAATAAATCTCTTCTTATTTTAGCTTTTCATTTATATCTTCTTATTGTTTTTCGTTTCGCTTTGATTCATTCTAAAATTTGTTTTATTTTTTACACTTAATTGTCCTCTTTTCTATTCTTTATTTGCTATTAAGCTACCTCACGTGTTTTGTCGGGTGCTAGTTTAAACAGCTGTTGCTGCTTAGTTGACGTGCTAACAAACGCTTCGAGTACCTATAAACTGATCTATTAATTATCAACTCTGATCTAGTCCATGCTCCCTTAATCTCAAAAACGAATTTAGATAGTTATAACAAACAGGATATGCATTATCTCAAACCGAAATAAGTGTTTAATAACAAACAGTCCTACAAATCACATCATGCAATGAAATTCAGACGGAAAGTGTAGATTGGAAATAGTAGGTTAAATAAAATTGACTTGTTTTGTCAAAAAAATAAGCTAATATGGCGAGGTGAGCAACAGCGAAAAGCATCCTTAATTAGTGAATGGAAATTTAAATAGAAGGCTCTAGTTAAAGAATTACCTGTTTGAAGAATACAAACACGATTAACAACTTCAAAAAGACTTCGAACAGCACAGGAGTGCGCTAACATACTCATTATTCGCTTAGAATTAAATGACACAAAACAGCGATGCTGGATCACCCAGGTGATGCTACAGTGTCGAATTGATTGGTTACCAGATATTCTATTAGTCACAGGCAGACAGACATATATTTGCTCTGAAAAAATCTCCATAAACTACCATCTCAATGACAAGAATTTACAGTGCACACATGTATTTAACAGTGTTATGCAAACAAGCGACATCTCGATAGGAGATATTAATTCTCTTCGTACACAGCATCTCTATAACTCAGATTCATCATTGAACTATAGAACTCAACTAAAACTAAGCGGAACTACTAAAGTACATTCCTGATTTTGTAATTTGTAAACTAATTAGAATTTATAATTTGTTCCATGTTTTATCACCACGCTCGTATCGTTCATTCATTTATTATTTTTTCTTTGAATTTCATTTTTCCAAGCACGCGCATCAAGCAACAAAGCTCTATATCAGTTTTCATGACGTTTTATTATCTAAATTAACGAGAAGTAGGAACTATAGCTGTAGGTAAATTGATCTTAACTATTTGCTGATTTATTGTTTTGTCATCTAGTAATGGATATTCGAAATTTCTTCAATAAAATCGGACAAACAACATCAAAGGTATACTTAGTTAGCGCATTATCTGTTTGAGAGTAACTTTAAAACTAGAATATTTTGTTTTCTAGCCAGGTACAATAAATGCGGTTACCGCTTCAAATAGTCCAACTGGAAAAACTCGTCCATTAAAACGTGCTGGTGGTAAGTAAATAAGATTTGTAGAAGACAGATTAATTCGTAAAAAACATTATTTATCTAATGGCTAGATAATGTATGAGAATTTTCTATCAGAAATGTGACAGGGATAAGCTGTTTATACATAGGAAGATTTTTAAAAAAGCTCGTCAGTATTTTCGTAATACTTTTTTTTAGAAAGCCCGTCACCTGAACCAGCAGCATTAAAGAAAAAACCGAAAATCGGTATAGTAAATTTACATGTCAGTTTTGAGAATTTTTTGTAAGTTTCTTGTTTTTTTTATTTTTAGACAATGGGCAACAAGATACAAAAAAGAAATTTTTGGTATGTCATCTGTTCCAGTAAATTCATTAACTAAAACATGTTTCTGTTTTCTGTCAAATTCAGCCAGTTGTTTCAAATCGTTCACCTGATAACGATGTTGAAGATTTTCAAATAAATACGTCAAAAACGAAAAAACATCAAATTTCACCGACCAAATTACCCTCACGTGTAAACAAATCAAGAAAAGTTTTAGAATACGATGATGACGAAGATATCAAAGTTAGTACAATAGCTTTTGAAATAAAAAAAGACTTAACCGTTGGTCAGGGTGACAAAAAGATATAGGTTAAGAGCAACACATTTATCAAAGGAATCTTCTAAGGGATAGATTAAACGACGCTCTTTTCTTCTACTACGCTCTAATAACTTGACTTTATTAGTTTGATTTATTTGTATCTCAATGAAGTTACCTTTCATCAAGTTCAGTAGTAAAAACGGAAAATAATTACTTCCTAAATTATATGAGTTGGAAAGAGAAAGAATACTCTGCTTTGCGGTTACCGGTGCAGAGTACTGACAAGTATCAATTTCAATAGTTCAATATCTTGCTTACAACTGACAAGCTTCCGACAAGGTCACCCACAGATACTAGCTATCCATACTAACTTTGCTGTTAGTGAGTTAATATTCGTAATAAATCGGTTTTGGGATTTTTAGGATGAAAATACTCCGAAAAGTCCATCTGACAATGACGTAGTTACGCCAAAAAGGACTTCATCTTCTGTATCTAAACAACCAACAACCCCTTTATCAGCTAAACGGAGAAAATCAACGCCACCTTCTACAACAAAAGCCAAGCGCCCTTCGCCTCCACCTGAAGAAAAAAAACGACGTGCTGATCAATATAAAGCGTATTTAAATCGATCAGGTCCGAAACATTATGGCGAAAAGGTAAATGAAACAGAAGATACTCGCATCCACTCTGGTGTAGTAAAGAAGAGACAATAAAAGAGAGATTTAAACGTAATATTGCAGCTTTTTACAAGAGAAAAGTACGGTATATGCATATACACTTCATTTACAGAATAGCTTTTCTTTGAATGTCCTTGCGTCCTGAGTGATTCAATCACAATGTCTGGTTGCTTATTTGATGTGTTTTTAGGACATACCAGAAGGTTCTGAAGGGTGTTTGGAAGGTTTAATATTTGTGATCAGTGGTGTTTTGGATTCATTGGAACGGGATGAATGTAAAGATCTAATTAAAAAATATGGTGGTGATGTCAAAGAAACGATTACGAAAACAAAAACCAATTATTTAATTCTTGGTGACCAGGGTGGCGAATCAAAAAAGAAAAAAGTAACTAGATTTTTTTTACATGCAAACTAATTTTATCAATAATATCGTCAGTACAAGATATCTACGTGTTCTTGTAGAAAATAATTACTTGTTTATAGTTTTCATGCCTCTACTATTCGATATCTGAAACTTTTTCTAATATTATTTAGGCCGAAGACTATAAAATTAAAATAATAAATGAAGATGGTTTACTTGAAATGATTCGAACTCGACCAGGAAAACGTCTAAAACCGACCCAATTAGCTTCGACAGCATCAACTACTCAATCAGCATCGTCACAACCCATCTCACCACCAGCTGCTACAAAATCATCTAGCTTCTATTCGAATAAAATTTCACCAAAAACAACAAATCGAAATAATAAAGGTTTTACTGAAACATTTTCAGATATTCAATCATCAACACCGGAAGTAGTGAATAATAGTACCACTCAAAAACCATCGACATCATCTGAGAACAATGATCTACTATGGGCAGATAAATATCGTCCAACACAATTGAAACAAATTATTGGTCAACAAGGTGAGAAATCATGTGTAGAAAAATTAATGAGTTGGTTGAAAAATTGGCACAAATATCATGGAAAAAATGCAGTAAAACAAGATAAGAAAAAAACATCAACATGGAATAAAAATGATGATCCAGCGTTGTTCAAAGCTGCATTGTTAAGCGGTCCACCAGGAATCGGTATGTATTAACAAAATGTGTACACTAGAGATCCTTTTGTTTAAAATAGGACTATTCTTAAATTCGTTCAGTGCATCTTTGTTGATAATGGCAAAGGCAGTATAAATAAAAAAAATTTCATTGAACATAGATGTTAATACATAAAAAATTTCCTTTTGCGTTGTTAGACTGTTTAAGTGTACACGTACAAGAAATTGATTTTTCTACTAAAATTCTCATTTTAGGTAAAACAACTACTGCACAATTAGTTTGTAAAGAATTAAACCTGCCCTATATCGAACGTAATGCATCTGATCAACGTTCGAAAAAGACAATTCAACAATATGTTGCCGACAGTATTAGCAATACTCATTTGTCAGCAACAGCACTTGTCGCAGAAAAACATGTTCTAATAATGGATGAAGTTGATGGATCATCGGGAAATGAAGATCGAGGTGGTAAGTACCAAAAGAGATGTATTCAAAGAATTTTATCGAAATATTTGTGGAAACGTGAGAGATATCTTTTTTCATTAGTACCATGTTGTCTAACAATCTTATTTTTCCTTAAATAGTGTTTTATTTTCTATGATATGTTTTAGGTATTCAAGAATTGATACAATTGATAAAACGTTCGCAAATACCTATTATTTGCATTTGTAATGATCGTCAATCACAAAAAATTCGCTCATTGGCTAATTATTGTTATGATTTACGTTTTCATAAACCAAAATCAGAACAAATTAAAGGTTGTATAAAATCAATATTATTCAAAGAACACGTTGAGATCAAAAGTGAAATACTTGATCAAATTATACTGTCATGTAATCAAGATATTCGACAAGTTATTCATAGTTGTAACCTATGGTATACATCACAAACACCACTAAAATATCAGGTAAACAACAACAAAAAGAGTAGTGGATAGAGATATTGCTTTTTTTACATGGATATAAGATAACTCTTGAAGAACTATTATTCATATTTCTAGTCATCATCGTATGAACATATTGATAAAGGTGTAAATACCAATATATTCGAATTATGTCGAAAATCATTGTCAAATGAATCACGAAATTTGTCAATTTTTGAGAAATCAGATTTATTTTTTGATGATTATCGATTAGTTCCATTGTTTATTCAAGAAAATTATCTTCGTGTAACACCTACAACAACGTCAAAAGATTTGAAAATGACAACAAATCATCGATTAAATCTAATATCGAAAGCAGCTGACAGTATTTGTCTAGGAGATTTAACCAGCAAAATCGTTTATTCATCAAATGATTGGTCATTATTACCCTATATGGTGAGTCAAGGAAAATGAATATTTCTGTCTTCAAGTAGCTATTGTTTTTGTCATGATTTATATTGTATCCTTCTTAGGGCATATTTTCAACTGTTGCTCCAAGTTCACTTGTACGTGGTACAACTAGTCGTATTGAATTTCCAAAATGGTTGGGTCAATGTTCAAAAACGAATAAATGTGTTCGTTTATTAACTGAATTAGAAAAACATACGTCATTACAAATATCAACAGGAAATAAAACAGAATTTAATCTTGATTACATGCATTATTTATCATCTGCACTTATTACCCCGTTACAACAAGAAGGTAGCGATGGTATTGCAAAATGTATTGAATTTATGAATGACTATTATTTGACACGTGAAGATTTACAAACGATAGTAGAATTAACATCATGGAATGATGGTAAAAAAAGTGGTGATAAAAATTCATATGAACAAATTGATTCAAAAATAAAAGCACAATTAACGCGAACATTTAATAAACAAACTCATAAAACACCTTATCAAATTATTGATCTTAATAAATTAAAGAAAACTAGACAACTAGAAAATGAAGACGAAATTGGTATGTACAAAAATGTTTATAGCATTAACATAAACAAAAACACAATTAAAAATATTCGAAAAGTATTGTGAACAATTCAGTATTCAAATACTAGATCTCCTGTCCAAACTTTCTGCTTTATTTTTTGTGCATTCTGAGAATTAAAGCTAGGTTTTCTCTTTGCTATTTTAGATGTGGAAAAATTGGAAAATGGTGAAATTGAAGAAGATAGTAGTGATGATGCCGAACAAAATACCGTTGAAGCAGATGTAATGATTAAAAAGTCAACAAAAAAAGCAGTAGCTAGTGAACCATCATCAACAAAAGCTCCAGCTAAACGTGGACGTAAAAAGTAGATGATTTGTTCCCGACGATCGAGGAACAAGATTGTAACTTCTTGCTCTTTTTCTTCCGATTTTGTGTTTGTACAAAGTCAAATTTATATATTTTTCTTATGCCACAGAGATACAACACATTTATTTTTTGTAATTAGGAAGTTTTTTTCTTATCTTTATTTTTGCTGATGTTATTATTGTTATTCTCTCTCTTAATCGGCCTTCAGTTATTTTTTTGTACTCTGTGTGTGTGTTTATGTGCGCAATGCACTAGTCATTCTTATTCGATGCGTTCTTTATGGAAAAATGACCTTATTTTAGAAATCAAGCAAGAATAGAATAAACACGCTTACTGCTACTATTTGAACGATAAAATCCGTTTCATAAAGTTGTGGTTTGTAGCAAGTGCAGATAGAACTTATTATCGTTTATTTTTCTTGAGTGGCTGGATGGTCCTAAGAACATTCCACGTACTGTTCCATTTGTGGATCATCTTTATCAAATTGTTTTACAGTTAATTGAACAGCACTAAGAGTATAAAACTCATTTTCATCGCATCCAGCCTGAACTAACTATAGTTTTTTATGGTGTGGTGTTTGAGAGACAAGACAAGAAAACGACATGTGCGCCGACGAAGCGCACATTTTCACGCGCCAAGGGCGGAAAATTTTTCGGTAATCATACGCTGTCGCGCGGAGGGAAAGTTTTTTCATGCTGTCACTGCCCATTGAAATAATCAGTGTTTGACAGAATCGAAAAAACGCCATATTCATCTTTTCCGCTGTTTTCTCAATCACACTGCAGTCTTAAGCTAGTGTTAATCATTATTCTCTTGTAAGTTACGACAGATGGCTGGACAGATTATGACAACTAATAATAATAACTTTAGCAAAGAAAAAACTTTTCACCGTCAAACGGAAAAGTTTGCGCCATCACCGAGGGCGAAAGAAAATTTTGAGGTTATCCGCCGCTGAACGTTTTTCTTCGGTGCATATGTCTGTAAGAAAACTAAGAGGGGAATATTTTGTTTCAGCAATCTTCTGTTAATACAGCGACTCGAAAAATTATTCGTTCAACCATACAGGGTGACTTTGTTTTGTGTGCCATTTCACAACGAAATAAGACAGAGAGTTCTGGCAAACATCATCAGTAGTCTATATGCACATACTTTTAAGCTTTCTAAGATTTTCTTTGTCCTTTATTAGAAAAATAGTGGAAAATACATGTTTTTCTACAACGCAAAACTATTCGTGCACTTTCGAAAGAAAGTCCTCTTTCGGGCAAAAAAAATACGTTTGGGCTTATTACAGATGAAAAATAGCTGAACCATCTTCGACCTTTTTCATAGTCCTTCTTAAAAATGGTAACTCCTTTTGTATCCAATAAAGAGTTAAATATAATGTATCATCGACTATATTATATCATTTACTTTCATTACGCCATGTTGAAGTAAACATGTTACATATTGGCATACACACTCAATAACCGTGTGTTTGATAAATATCGTATAATAATTCGTTCTTTGGTTAAGTATCGAGCGTTTATACCTACAATGAAATTGGCTAACAGTCTGACTAATAGTAAAGAGTGCTTTGTAAAAGCCACAGGTATTTCTCAAATTCAAGCAGAAATCTGCCTGAGCACATCTTAAATTCTTAGTAAAACTTGGATTTACTATAAATACTTATCACTTCATTAGTAATCCAGACACGTACACAACATTCGAAGCGTATTGCAGTTGTAATTCCTGATGCACATTTTTGTTCCTTCACGTTCAACCAGTTTCTATTAATATTCCTAGTCGACTGTCCGGAAGAAAAGCCGTCGGGATTTGTTCTAAATTTCCACTGATCCTGAAGAGTTTCGAGGGTATCCAGAGAAAGTTCAGCGAGAATCTCATTTTAGAAAAGTCACAAAATTGTTCAGAATTCTTGAAGGATTTACGCAGAAATCCCAAAAAAAAATCATGCAGGTTTCGTGAAGTTACTCACGATTTTGTTTTGTGTGAACATTTTGAAAGTGTAAGGAATTTGATAGTATAAGAAGGTGCTTCAGCTTCCCGAAATTTTTTCAACTCAAGAGATAAGGTGAAAATAAACCAGAATGGAAAATGTGACCTTTCTCAAAAAATTTGTAAAAAGCTTAAGGTTAGGCACAAGTTTAGGCACATTATTCGGAAGGAGAAGCGATTCAATCACTTGGTGAAATCCCTTGTAAACTCTTTCTTAACTGATAAGACGGTTATAAAGCAGTTAGATTGAATAGAACGTAAAATAACTGACTGGCCGAATCGATTTCGTAATCGATCTGGAAATTCTTTAATTTTCGGTTAAAAAATCGAAAACGGATTGTAACCAAATTGGTTTCGGTTTTCGTTTTTTTACCAAAACTGATGTACTCAGTATGTCCTGTACAGTAGATACTTCACTCGAATATTTTTGAGTCAAATGCTGATTTAGACAGGAGACAAATTCATTGTTTAGGGTGTTTAAAAGACCAAGAAGCGAATACTCATATTAGGATTAGAAAATATTTAATTTCCATTTTCTTTCATTTATTTATCCTTATTTTTTGTAAATCACCTACGTTGTATAACTCTCTCACAGTTTTCTTCAATTGTATTAAATTAATATGACACAATTGTATGCAAAGCAAATGAGTTCGAAATCAGTTCAGCAAATAGACTAAAGTCTGCTTTAAAGGTTAAATAGCAAACAGTAAGAGCAACATCAGATGACCTCAAGAATTTAACACAATACATAGTTTTTTATTTTATATGAAAATTTGACTTATATTTTCTCGAGAAAAGTTGTTCGAGATTTTTACATATTCAGAATTGGTGTGTTCGATTACCCTGAACGTTTCTTTTTACAAAATAATATTGAAAAAAATACAGGCACGTTTCTTTTCTCTAATATGTGGTATTACTAAAACAAGACTTAAAACGTCTTTTTATCATTCTACGACTCACTATTAAGATACGATCATGAAAATTCATGCGTTTGTAATACAGAGTATTCAAGTAGTTTTTCAAAGTGAACTGTAAATCAGATTGACAAACATTTAGGAAGAATAAGAAAAAGATAATATTCGTTGTGTAATGAATGAGTTTACTTAATTGTTCAAGTTTGCTCATTTAGATTTAATTTTTGTACTGCAATAACTCGAACACCTTGTTTTGGTGCAACAACCATTACTTCTTTTTGTTTCGTTCGTAATCGAACGGTTAATAATGTATTTGTTGGATCTAAATCTCGAATAGCTGATCGACACATTTCAGCAAAATCTAATAGTTTGGGTGTAATGATAAATGTCACGTTGTTATCCAAAGATGTATAATGCAACTGACCATCTTCATTTGTTAAAATAATACCTTCAACACCAGGATAAGTTGATAAACGTTTCAATGTTGCATCTTCACTAGCTAATAAGCCTTAAAAAAGCGAGATCAATAAAGTAAACTAGAACAACGAAACTGTAGAAGGAGATAAAGTAGATACTAAAACCAAGTAGGTATATGTTAGTGAGATAAAATTTTCGTCAATGTTGTTATGCACAGCATAATTTCTAGTCTATACACATGAATTTGTCGCACAGATTATCTTCGTTCTCTTCGTGTAAAATACTTTTGAGATGTCTAAAATTTTTGATTTGAAAGGAGCAGAATAATCAACTACTAAAATATCACGGTTCATTGCGTACTAAATTGAGCTTGTTCAAAGTTTTAAAAATTCAGGAGTAGCGTTTATTAATTGAGTAATTTTTAATAATTTTTTAGAGGATTGGTGTTTTTTGCTAAAAGTTGATAAGTATGAACTAAAAAAGTTTGCTGAACATGATACATTGACAAAATTTTAAGCGCACAGCATATATCTATATAGAGCAACAAATAAAGTACAATTACAACATAGGATGGACGAAAAATTTTGACACTTTCTGCCAGGTAAAGAGTCATTGTTTATATTTAAAGATAATCAATATAAAGAAATGGTTATAGCGAAGAAGACCAGTTAAAGATCGATCTACGTATAAATGCTATACCACAGAAAGAGTGACAAAAGGCAAATACACATAGAATTGAAAATTAAATGATAAACAAATAGATAAATAAATAAACATATAACAACAACAACAACGACAACAGTAGTAGTAAGGAAGATTTAAAATAAAAACTTTGGATTTATTTTTATTTTAGTTACATATGTAGCAGTAACGAGCAGAATAAAAAATGAGGAAATGAACTTTCGATAATTTAAGTAGGAAGTTTATTTCCTTCTCTTTTTCTTCGGCTGAGAGTAATGACTGTGAGAGAGATTTTTGTTTTTCGTAGAAATTATTTGAAGTGAGCAACGTCTGTAGTATCAGAAGTTATTAGAATATTGAACGGACAGATAGCCGTTCTTATATTTTTTAATCTCTATACGCACTATAAACAAGCAATTTCTTTACATGAGGTTGAGAGATTCAAGCCTGACTATATTGAACACATTTACCGAGAAGCAACATCGTTCCCAATTATACGTAAGACTCATCTTTGAAGCACAATTGAAAGTTCTGAATTTTTTCTAAGTATACTGTCGAAAACAACTGAGAAATACTCCATTACCGTAGGGAAGCACATGAAAAAAAAGACGATATTTTTATTTTAGCTTTCTTTTTTCTCGAATGAAAATTTTGACTTGAGAAAATTATGGCTGAATGATCTAAGCGTACCTGTTCTTGTGTACAAACTTCCTTCATATGCATAGTCACTTAGTGATGATGAAAATCCTTAAGAGAAAAATGTCAAAAATCTACACTTCACTATATTTAAAAAGTTTGCTAAAATTTATACCATCTCTTATACCTGTTGAGTTATCCATGATAGGTTGTTTTTTTTTTTTGTCCGCTTTTAATGATATTGTTGTTATTCGGTTAACATAATCTCCTTTTTTATCATGAGTTTGCTCAAGTATCACGTATAAATTATATATTTACCTATTATTTTTAAGTATATAGCGGAAAAATGAGAAGATAAAAAA